TGTATGTATTAACCTGATCAGAAATCTCGAAAAGTGATTTCTTCGCTGAGCTGTGCATAAGACATTTGTGATTGTTCGTAACCATAGCCGGCACCAAAGCGAATCTAGGACACTGATCTCTGTATGATCAATAACTTCACATCGGTTGTTAACCTTGTAATACAGAATTACACCACCACCTCATACAGCTCTGTCATTCCGAATCAGTGATATACCAGGTAAATTGATTTCAGAATCTGCAATCTCAAGGCTTAACCCGGTCCCCGTAGTCATTATGAGATAGCGCGGTTGTGACGCCTGACGTTCTTCAAGTTCCGCCAACTTATTTAAAAAAACCTTGAGCATTAGTATAGAAACATGATAGTGGTTTTGATGTTAAAAGTGTGTAGATGGACAACAAATTCGTGTTTGGTTTTAAGCTGACCGTTCGTCGGTCAACCGCTAAACGTTTTTTACGTTGGTCATTGGTTCTTGAATTTCTGCCAAGTTGGATGGTAGCATGGAGCATCCCAGATCGAGATGTTCTCTTTCGTATATCCCTGTCCCATCAGATGTCGCTAATGCCATACTGTCTACAACTGCAGGATTGGGGAGGCAAATATTTTACTGAGATTGCATGTTCCAATGAAGCGCTGAAAACTAGTGGCATTGCGCCTGCTCTCTTTAGCTTAACCTCGGTATGGCAACTTGGAGCGATGCTTCAACCAGCTATCCAATAGGATTTCTGTCATTCCATCGGAGTGTAGCACGAATTTCAATATTTTTGGAACACAGCTCTTGTAGTTTGGAGATGAAGGAATTCTTGCTTGTGATTTAGCAATAAAGTGCTCCAGAGAGAGAGCTTGACGGATGTAGCACCACTGCTCTCAGTCATGTTTTTGTACTTCGTGCTTAAGAGAGCCCAGTACTCCAGGAACACCATGAACAAATACCTTTTTGCTATCGCTCTTAGAAGGATCGCCATAGTTTTATTTTTTATTTGACCGTCTTTTCCAAGAAATATCCGGTAGTATGTGTTCGACGGGTTTCGAAGATGAACTGCTGTGAGTAGGACTATCTGTCTCCTCAGTTGAATTCAAGGTTACTCGAAGAAATCTGGGTTCGCCGTAGTGCATTGAATTCGGGTGACGCGCTACGCGTCGTAGCGCAGCTGGGTCAACCCGAATACCAATCGCATCGCCCATGGCATGCAACTGGTTGCAATCCTCTACCAACTTGCTCTTTGTTGTCTCAGAACTGGACTCAGGAACGTTAGTGCACACGACCGTTAACGCACTGTGGTTCTGTTCAGCAAATGATGGTTTACGGTTTGTGGCTATTAACTTGGAATGTTTGGCAGGCACTAAAGAACGTTGTGACAACGGTGTCGCGTCGCTCGTGTTTGGTCTATAAAATTAGCGAACGGGTGTCTCTTTAGGCATTTTATCAAAGCGATCGATGAATATGTTACCCGGCTCTGGACTGTCTGTGTCGGTGTTGTGACCAACTCGTGTGATATGGCATCTAGGGATGAGTTAATAGCAGTCAAGCTGTATGTGCCTTGCCTACTTAAAGGGTTAGTAGTTGTCAACGTAGGCGGCGCAGATGTCTTTGGGCGGTTAGCAAGCCTGACTTTAGCCTTTAACGTAGGGACAGAGCTCTGAAGGTTTGCTGTAGAGCAAGATCGGTGTTGTTAGATTCTAATGCCAAAGCTCACCATCTGTTGGACTGTTTCAGTCAGTTTTTCGCACTTTTCCAAGAGCGCTAATATACATTTGACTATTGGGATTGCTCTATATGTTTGGCAAAACCACAGCGGATCAGCCAGGCCGTATCGTTGTTGATTTAAACAAACAGAGGGGGTGGAATGGAATGTTGCAAAATTCACAAATAATGTCTCGCTTAACGGATCGTATACACTTCTGTTTAACAAGTTTGCGGTTAGGTGGAATCAGTTCCATTGAGGTCCGTTGTTGCAAACGAACGCTTTCCTTGCCTGACCACGTGAGACAGAGGGTGAGTGACGCTAGTGCGCTTTCTCTCAGTCGCACTCTCGATGTTGGTTACAGCAGGCGAGTGTGCACGACGAGGACACGCGTACACGGAGTTTGGCTAACTTATTTATCCACACTGGTTCCTGTAGGAAAAAGCTGTTGGGTAGATGACTGACAGCGGGTGGCTGACAGCGGAAAGTGCCAGCGATGGGTGAATGCAACTGAAACCACAGATTAAGTCGTAGCTTCGTTGGGTGTAATTCCAGGACCAGCAGATAGTGCGGGGAATTCTTGATCGATCACAGTATCGCAGTAGTGAAAACTGTTAAAAACAACGGAGTGACGCGTCTGAATAGAAGCACGAAGCGCGCTAAAACAACTTGCATAGCACAAATGACTTTCCGTAAAAAGTAATTCCGTAAAAATATGCCCACTAAGCACGGGGAGTCATTTCGATTCGAATGAGTGTATGATGAATGCGCTAGGTGAAGAGGAAGACGGAAAACTGTGACAGAGGAGCACGCGTTTTCTATCTGACCAGTCAAGTAAGTGACAGCACAGAAAATGTGAGTTGCGGTCTGCCTTAACCTAACTGGCAGCGGTAGTCTGAAGGTTGTACCAGGTGTCAAGGTGATTATGTCGTCTGAATGCCCTGAACGGGCCTGTTAATCAGGTGATACTTGTTGTGCCCCAGTCGTGACAGTTGAGACAATAGGTGACTCGTCCAAGTCTATTTGGGACCTTTTTCCCTAGATTCATTGTCTAATCCTGAGATGACAGCAATTTGTTCAGTAGAAACTGGCAGCAGTGGCCTGTTAATGCAAGGCGGCGGACGACAACGGGGCCTTACACATGAGACATAATGGTGTGATGAAATTTCTATAGAACGAGGACACAAAATCAGCTGAAGTTTGTGGCTATCTTAAGTCACAGTATAATGACGACGCCTAGTCCAAGTAGGACGTCTGAGTTGCGCGAGCGCTTCAAAGCTGGTAGTACGTCTGTCACTAACGAATTCGGTCGAAATTAATCCCAACCGATGACTAACATTCTTAGGAACATTAAACGCGTTGAGCAGTTTCATTCTGACAGTCAACGTAAATCTAGTCAATGAAAACCGTAAACAAGAGAACTCAAACTCATGTGCTATTTCGCAGGGTGCGTGTCACAAGGGTTAAAAAAGGACCCTACTTATTTGACCTCCACAGATGGGTTGAAGCTTGCGCAGTATTGAAGGGACGTTACGAAATAAGGGACAATAATTCCAAGAATGTATTGTCACCCCCTCCCTATAGCCTTGATTTGATGCTAATTGGTATGTATGCCTTTGGGTGATATTTCCCAAGTCGCTAAAGCGAAGCCGCTTGTTGTAATCTGGTTCAACTGCACTAATCACGGTTTATGTGTCCAGACCTTCCCACCATTAGGGAAGCGCTACGGTAGGCCTATACATACAGCGGGGTGCATTTTGAAAAATAGATGCATTTGCTGCTTCCAGAAATACGTAAAGGTCTTCCGTTGAAAATTTCTATAATAAATTAACGTCAATTGAAATTCTCCATTTCTGGACGGTAATTCAGAGAGCATAATGAAATAGGAGGACCGGTAGTCCTCCCCCTTTTAATGAAGTACAAAACATAAATCTTTCCTTAGTGGTTTACATGGGCTTGGGAGCTATAGAACGGAAAGTGGTAACAAATAAGTGGCATGCTTCATAGATACAATTCGGGCCACAAAACGTGTTGTCATTTGAATCGTGCCAGGTGGAATAGCACTTTCGACATGGGCAATTATGGCATGACACCAACGACGGGCGCTTTATTTCGGTGTGGGACTTTTGCACTTTTCAAAGTATCATAGTAGCTCGTCACAAAATAGCTCATTTAATAATCCCAAACTCCATGGTTTTCTTTCACTCTCTAGCTGCCTATGGCTGTAAGATATAAATAGGGACGGAACCTGTCATGCGATAAACAATATGAAACTGAGTCCTTTAAATGTTTCGCTACGTCATCCAGTAAAGAACCTCGACTAGCATAATGAAAAGATGCCACGTACTCTGATATTGTCCGCATATTGGTCTATTCCATCTTTGTCCCGATACTCAGATAAGTAGGGTTTGTGAGTTGATGGACAAAATGCCTTTGTTTGAAAGATATGTCAGCTTAACATACGAAGTACAGCAATAATCGACTTCACTACCCTCTTCCATGGGCTATTGTACAAGCGATTGAAGCGGTTCATCTGCTTTAGTCTCCGTTCTTTAACATAATTAATGCTACCAAAGTCGTCTTATTGGGCACTAATTCAAAACAAGTCTCTACATCACATTTGCCGACCAGAGTGTTACGCATTCAGGTAAAAATTCTACAGGCCTTGGATGGTCAAGCAAATTTTTCGTTATATCTGCTAGCAAGAAGAAGCGAACGACTTTTCTGTTCCGCGCTACATGGATTCAACGGTATTCAATCAGTATGGTCCGATTAGACGGCAGCACTAAATTCAGGTAAAAGTTAAACGAACATAGAATTATTCCCATGATATAAACGTTTAATGACCCATATCTTGCAATGAATAATTATTTTATATTATTTTGTGGAAGTTCTGCCTTTGAAACAGTTCCATATACGCATAAATAATAGGACACAAAGTAGTATGTTGAAACAAGTAATTTCTTCGTTGTTATATGCGCGAAAACTGATAAAAGCGGAATTTGCTGACGAATGAACGGCTGCCCTCGTAATAGATTTGTGTGCAGATGGCTACTTATAACTTAAAAAACAAATGCTTTGCGCTTCGATAATCAAGAGTTAGAAATTAAGATCGAAGACAGAAATTTATCATCTACATACGAAGCTTTACCAAGTGTTGATTAAAACAACCTGTAATGCCCTGGGTAATTGCAAAAAACTTCTAAATTTCAGTTAAATAAGTAACAACACATTTTGTGAAAAGACCTTCTTTATCGCCATTCAGTCTGCAGACTGTTGCAACGTTATCTATTCTGTCTCATTCGCTTGCTTACAGATGTGGCTGAGTTTGTTTTGAATAAATGCGAAGAAGATCAGGCTGAGAAGCCTTATACCTTTGAATTCATCGACGACCAGTATGCTTTTTGGAATGAAGCCGCTCTCATGGGACAGGTGAAACTATGTTTTTCAAAGTCCCCGTTGAATTATATACTGAACAAGTGGAGGGCACTGAATTTATCTGTAAGTGTTTCTTCACCGAGTAGATATCATAATAAAGATCGCAATTTAAACGAAAAATTAACTAAGTGCGACAGGAATGTTCTGTTTTGTGCTGATGGATGTCAGGCTGATTAATGCATGCGGACTTTCAACATATGATGTTCACCTCTGTTTTGCTACTGTGACACCAATCTGAAGTGAACTGCTGATGAAGCATCTGTGTCTAACTTAGACAGACAGATTCATGTGGGTAGTGTTTCGGATGTTTGCTTTACAAACCTTAAGCCGTAGGCCCCTGTCCTAACTTAAGTATGGAATTGGGTGCTTCATTATCACGGCTCGCTTACAGCCACACCCAGGTATTTGTACACAGCAGTAGTGCACCACTGTTACCGCCACGTTAGATATAGCTGTGTGGAGCCATCGTCTTTCTAATTGGCAGATTTGTAGTGAGATTTCCTTGTTTAATATTTAACAACTTGCCCACCGTGAGAGGATCTATATGAAAAGGTTTCCACATACTAACTGGATTCATTATTATTAGGATTGTTACCATACATTAACGGAGACTCGATGGTTTGATGTCTGCACTGGATGTAGTTAAGGTAGAAGTTGGAAAGTTGATGATCTGCCTTTCACTTTACTCGGTTAGGTGCATTCACCAGCAATTACCTCATGATGATGCCTGCCACTGCCACTGGGCACGGGTTATGGTTCTTCGTAGCCGCTTCTAGCTCCTTCATATTATTTGTGCTACAGAAAATGTGGCCCTGAGTAAGACAGGAACTATTTTGCCTCAAGCAAAATCACCAGTCTGCAGTTAAAATGCCAGCTGCAGTTTTGACGTCGTTTCCTCCCGGTGTTTTCAATTGATAAATCTCAATAAGCTATGATACAACACTGATACCAATTCAGTCTCTCTACTTGAGGTGTATCATCTGAGCTCCCATAATTTCTAACTCGATTTGCCCAGCTTTCCGTTAGGCCAGAGGTTCAAGTGGACCTCTTCTTGTACAAATTTGCCACATCATGACGAGTGGTTTTTAGGCATTTATAAAGATTTTTCTAAGCGATAACCTAAAACAAAGACGGTGATCCCACTTTCAAGTGTGATCGGACTCTACTTTCTTTCATATAAGAACTATGGACATATGGATGTGCGGTGTTGCCCTCCCAATATCCATCTGCATCATCAGTTAAGGTCCCAGTAATTTAACTGACTGTCTCACGCTAATGCGAAGCGCGGTCCACACGGAGATTGCGCGTCGCAGCACATTCCCGTGAGTGCATGGAAATGACCCATGAAATAAAAATTTCCATCATTATGTTGGTATACGTTGAACAGGTCAGCCACAACTAGTGACTTGATAAAGTTGTAACCATGCTGTTCCTAGAGTTCCCCATTGATGGTTGACCTATCGATCACACAATAAGACATCGAAGATGCTAGGTTTGTTCAGAAGATGGTATCAATCATTGTGTATTGGTCTGACAGTGGCATGCCTGCTTTGAATGATTCCAGTCACTGAGATTACCATCCATTGAGAAATGATCGAAACAGGGGTCTCAGATTTTACGATAGGTGGTTGCCAGATTCATGCAATCACCTTGCCTACTTCTACGCTTTTCTAAATTCCTCGTGTAACCCCCAGCCTAGACCAGACTTTAAAAGTAGTTCAATGTACCGTTTGTTCAACAGTGTAATCAATTGTACATTATATAATGCTACGTCAGAGGGTAGATAGACCTCACATTAGCATTATTTTGACATTAGAAGCAACCAAACTTAGTCTCATTTGTGTATCAACTTGTGTTATGCCCATGTTGAATGCAACCATTGTTAACCAGAGTTTCAATGAGAATCTTGACCAGTGCGTTAACTTCCAGGGAAGCACGGAAGAATTGCTTTCTTTGCCCCCCAAAACTCTCATTCTATGTATTTACCATTGTCTTCAATGGTTGAAAGTTTATGACATGTGCATTTCCAGACCACATCCCAAGAACCTTGTCAACTGAATCATACTTCTACGGGAGATCAAAGCCAACAGCTTTATTGTAACGACTTTTACCTACTCAAAGAAAACCACCCACTAATGTACATGGTAAGTTACAATTGGCGCGATGCGAGGCGTGTGATCCTGAGTTGTTTACACAAAGTAAATCACATGTCAAGATGTACGCCGCCATCGGTAATAAGTTGAGCCTTAGTTGGACCTACCAAATATTTAGCTCTGATATACACATTCCATGTTCCATAGGTATTAAATCGTTGGCTCTTATATGTATGTAGCTGAAAACAGACCGAAAAATGTTTCACTTAGCGATCATAGTGTGTCCCGATTAGTTCCCCATATTCACCGGATAGGGCACCAAGTATTTCGCTCACGAATTTTTACACCTGAAACCAGGTAGGGAAAATGAGCCACAACAGACTAAACAAAACGCATACACCATATTTTTACCATTCGTGACTACACTTACATCCACCATATTTTACTTTTTCGAACCATGCACCATAATTTTGACGGATACGTCTGCTGTTTGCTTTAGCTCTGTGGACAAAATGAATTCCAATTTAACTATAGTGCATGCAGTAAAACGCAGTCATGGAGTAGGTAAGTTTTCTAGCCCTAAAACACTGAGACACAGCCCAGTTTGTAGAGTGTGATTAATGTAACTGGAAAGGATGTTATATTGATGTACATGTATCTCATCTTCATGGCTTGGTATGCCACATTGGTTGTAAGCTGACGGTTCCAGCTCTGACAAACCGTCACCTAAGATATGCAACCGATGGTTGGCGGTATCCGGTTCCGGATTCGCCTATCACTGCGGCTTCCATAGGACATCCACAGAACGTCTACGCCCTCAGAGAGACCATGAGTGGCTTGCGCTGCACCACCCACATCTCCATCTACACCCCCAATATCCAGTGTAAACCCGAAGTAATGAGACCGGTAAGCATGAGCAAGGGAGCCGCGTTTCGTCAACGGATCCGATCCACACTCTTTCGTCAAGCAGTGCAGAATTATTCATGCCTTATTCGAAAATCATGCGTACCAGACGTACGCAGTGGCTGAGCCGTAGCCAGCTACGCAACGGATAGAAGCATTCTTTGAGTTAACCACTCTCACGAGAGCCGTGCAGTCTGTCCCCCAGCAACGATTCACAGTCCCCTGGAGCCAGTAATGGTGTTGGAGGATGTTAGACAGGTACGCACCTCCTCACTATTTACATCAAGCGCAGTCCCACCGGGGATATCAAATAGCCAGCATAATGGAACAATGGAACAATTAACACGCAAAATTGACAAGACATATGCAGCAGAATAACAAAACTGAGCAAATCGAATAAAGTGGAATACTGTGTAGCCAGGTTAAGAAATCTTCTCTAGGTTGGTACATACTGTAGTCAGATATTCGCCGACCAAGTTATACGATTCCACTACAACTTCTGATACCTTGACAAATCGAGCGCTGTACTGCCAATCTACCCAGGGTTTCATTAGCTTTTTGAGTCTAACGGTAGTCAAGACACGAAAGTTGGTCACTGTTTACTGCCTGCAACATGTGCACCAAAAGCAATTGTCTCAATTCCTTAAGTTAAGAATAACTTCTAGAAAAAGTTTTATAGGTACACATGATCTTATGGTTACCACACACAAGGAAAATCGCTGAATGACGGTTTCACTTCATCCAGGCTCAGAAGTGGTGCTTATTCCAAGATCCTCTATTTACGAGATCTTGAACAAGTACACAGGGGTAGCAAAAGCTACCTTCAATTTCTAATTTATGTAACTGCCTCACATGATCATAGTATGTAGGCGACATTAGTCTGCCTCTACATACACAAAGCCTATGATCGGATGCCTCATGGACAAATAATAATTAAAAATCATATCCTGTGAGATCGATGAACCCCTGCTTTCTTGGTTTAGGGCATGCCTTACAAATCGAATGCAGGTGGTGCAACTTCAACAATACTACTGAGTCCACAGCTGTCACCAGTGGTGTGATACAAAGGAGTGGCCTTGGGCCGTGACTGTTCTCAATATACCTTAAAGAGGTATTCGACGTAGAGAAACCCGTTAAACCATACTTCTTTGCCGAGCACATAAAAATAGTGCAACATGATGCAGACAACATGATCCAACCCGATATCCAATGACTTGAAACCTAATGCTCAAAGCGGAAAATGTCTTTCACTGCTGACAAGTTTTGTCCAATGTCTCGATAAGACATGGCAAGATGAGGGCAAAACAGAATATCGGCTTGCTACACGGGACTTTTTTCTCTACAACTACCAATACTTCATCCTTTTAATATCTATTGTTTGGCTGGTGCTCAATGATCTATAGCAGCTCAAAAAGCGCCACCGTATTGCCTCGCCACAGGTACAGAGAGCAATCACAAAGCGCCTTCTATACCATTTCTCAATTGCTTGAATCCTTAAGACATTCGCTTGCATCCGTAACGTAGCAGCTTGCATCCTTAACGCATCCTTAACGTTCTTTACGAAACTTTCATTCACGACGTTCTGAGTAGTCGACCACTATCAGCCAATGGCATTCATGCCATCGCAATGAGGCTTGACCTTACCGTGGTGCGATGGTTTGCGTGCCTCAGAGATCCATTGAGCTATGCTGGGTGGTGCATTTTTTACAACTTCAGAGCCACTCATGCCAGATTGGTCAATGGTTAGAGGCCAGACAAACTCAGCCTCCTGGTCCTCCAGGTTGGGGGTTGGAATGGGGGTGCCTCCTCATTTCATAAAACGGGCTCTGTAGTCCAGTGCCAAAACCCGCTGCCTTGCGGTAAGGTTTTTGAACCAAAGGCTTTGGTTGAGGACCCTAATCGTTCTCCTGTCTATGCCTGGGCAACCTGACAGTATTCTGCCCACGCAATACAATGAACCTTTCCTACAATAATTTCTTGATGCTCTGGCCGTCGCAGAGGATAATAAACGGCACCCTATCTGCTGCATCGAGCAGGGTGGATAGGGGTATGGATGCTACTGCTCAGGCCTTCCCGTCTTCTTATACCCCTTCTTGCGCTTGTGCATCCTTATCGTCCCGCTCCAACTTTACTTATATCCCCCCATTTTCAATCCCCCAATTCTTGGCCCTCCCCCAGCTTACTTCAATAGTCGCTTGTCTTCTAATTTCAAATCACACACAATCACAGGGCCTCGCTCCAATCCAGTCGACAAGTCCATGTTCAACCAAGCGGACAACGTCAGTTCATCCGTTTACCTTTGGAGTCCTCGTGTCTCGCTAAAACTGGCATGCTTCAACGTGCGCACTTTTCTGCAGATTGGCCAACAGGCAGCACTTGCCCGCACACTAGAGACCCTATCGATCGATATTTGCTGTTTATCAGAAACCCGCCTGCAAGATTCGAGCTCCGTGCTTATCCTGTGCTCCCCTACAGGCGACACTGGCGGCACATTCTCATTGCGCCTGTCTGGCGATGATGCAGCTTCAAATGCCGGTCAAGCTGGCGTCGGCATTGTTTTGAGTCCCCGGGCTGAAGCTGTCCTGATTGATTGGATACCAGTAAACAGTAGAATGTGCGCCGTTAGATTAGCTGGTTCGTTCCGTGCTACGAAGTCGCGCGGGGACAAACGGTGCCCGTTTGTCATTGTGGCTTACGCCCCTACAAACTGTAGCACTGGCTCGGTAAAAGATGATTTCTATCAGCAACTGCACGAGCTCCTTCGTTACAGAAGAAACACGGATACTGTGGTGTTGCCTGGGGATCTAAACGCCCAAGTCGGAAAATTGTCCTCTGATGAGCTTCATCTGGGCGGCCAACATGGTGTGGGCTCCCGTAATGAAAATGGTGAGCGATTGCTACAGCTGTGTGAAGATGCTCGCCTCTTTCTCGCGGGCACTAACTTTCGACACAGCACCCGCAGAAGCGTGACTTGGCGGCCAGCAGCCTCGGGCCAGCCATGGACGCAAATCGATCATATCGCGATCAGTTACCGCTGGAGAGGCTGTGTCCAAAACTGCCGCTCGATTTGGAGCACGAGCGTGGACTCTGACCACGCACTTGTCTGCGCCGAACTCCGAGTGCGTTTCGGTGGACGTCCGCAACGTCGCCAGCTGGCGAAGCCAGATGTTCTGAATGTGTACCAAAGTGCGCTGACATCTGGGCTGAGCAGGCGCCCACTAAACACCGTTGAAGATCACTGGTCGCATATTCGTCAAGCGTTGCTGTTAGCAGGTATGTCTTCATGTGGCAAAGCAAATTGCCAAACCGGACATTGGGTCTCTACATAGTCTCTGGAACTTATGGATGCTCGCCGACGTATTCCGACTGGAAGCGTATACAATGAGGCTCGCAAAAATCTCAGGGCAAAACTACGTGCTAGCCTGAAGAAGGATCGCGAAACCTGGTGGTCTCATCGTGCATCGGAAATGGAAACAGCCGCTGCCGTTGGTAATCATCGTAAGTTATTCCGTCTGATACGGGAAACAGACAGCAGAAGACCTGTTGTTGGCGAGACCATACGCGACGAGAGTGGACAGCCGATTCACAGCCTGTCAAAACGCTTGGAGCGTTGGGCTGAACACTTTGCAAGGCAATTTAATCAACCTGAGTTATCGCTTTCTTCTTCGGGCATTGAGCGCCCTTCTCCCTGGGCCGTCTCCTTGGATCCGCCATCATGTGCAGAAGTCGAACGTGAGATCAGGCTGTTGAAATTGCATAAGGCCGCAGGGGCAGATAGAATTCCCCCAGCCCTCTTCAAATTCGGGGGACCTGCTCTAATAGATGATATACACGAGTTGCTAGTAAAACTTTGGGAGCAGGAGACAGTCCCGACAGACTGGAACCGCTCCGCCATTGTCCCAATTTTCAAGGGAGGCTCCCGTTTGGAGTGCGGCAATCATAGAGGGATCAGTCTGATTTCGATTGCCTCTAAATTGCTTGCCTCTATCATTCTCCACAGACTGACTGGCACTCGTAAAAGCCAGATTCGTGAAGAGCAAGCCGGATTTCGTCAAGGTCGCGGCTGCATCGACCACATCTTCACCTTGCGTCAAGTATTGGAGCACCGCCATGTTTATTGGCGACCCACCGTTGTCGTGTTTCTTGAC